ATTGGATTACAAATTACAATGAACATGTCAATACTTTACACGACTTGACGATTATGTATATGTTAAAGTAATATGTTCTTGTTATTATTAAAAGATCACAACATTCTAAATAAAACACATTAATCTGTTAACTTTTTTGATAAAAAAATTAGTGTATAAAATAGGTTTTTTTTCTTTGTTACTATCACAGATATATACTAGATTGGATGTAATAGATTGGATAAAATAAACGACCGTATTGTGCACCTCTCAGAGACTGAGAACTGTGAATTAAAATGCATGTGGAAAAAGTCTCTAATTGTCAGTCGTNGCTAAAGTCGAAACACAGAATACTGCAAGAATGTGTACTGTGGACTGCAATGTAAGTAATATATCTTAAAAACAAGTAAAAAAATTTAAGAAACACTAAGTACAAAAATAATTTTTATCGTGTATAACAACTATTGTTCTTTACTTGTACAGTTATAATTTTGCATAGAAAATGTATTCGAATTCACATCATAACATATATAACATATAAATAGTGCTTTTCTATTTATAGGCATCTTCATTTGGAACTTCGTTATATTGCTCGTATTATAAATGTTTTCTATAGAATGCAAATAACTGTGCAGATGGCATCTTTTTTGTCTGTTTCATAGGATTATTATATTTTCAATGTCGTGCACTGCTGTCTTATCCACATATATGAGAGCGGGATAAATCCACAAATAATAGTTTTCTATGGTCAAAAATTTCAAACAACTTATTTGTTCGGTTAGTATTCACTATCAATACAGAATCACAAATACATCGAGAAATACTAGTTTTCTTTGGTAAAAAATTTAGCCATAAGTATTTATAATAACATTTTCTTCTAGTTCATCGTCAAAGTTTTTACTGTTTTTCTTTTAATAATGCAAGCGGACACGTTTTCTATATAAAGATCATTTGAAACAAATGTGTCATCGTGTTTTTTCTAACAAATAATCATATTTGTGAAATTTGTACGTTATCTGATTAGTTTTTTATATGTAGTTAGGTTTCATTACTTTTCTAACAATTAAAACATGTAAAATAAAATATACAGCAGAACTTTCCTATTTTTTCAATTGTCAAATAACATTTTTTCAGAAATATTTCTTATCGGTATTATTCATTTTTATTTTTCTTCTTCGATAATACCCCAATAAGCAAATCTTTCATACTGCTCATGTATGATCAAAAAACGATTGTAATAACAGAAAAGAAGTGACAGCCTAGGAAAAAAANAATTTTCAAGTAAGAGTTTACCGATGTCGATAAGAGAATGGATGTACCAAAACAATGTGTTTACAATAGAGACGTTCTACTGTATTTACGTATACACCATAAAAATAACATATACCTATGTAAATGTATTATTTTAATCATATCACACATTACATGATTATGGGTGACGTCAAAGTCTTAGTACAAATGTTTAAACGCATCGTTGTATTTTTATTCTACATTTAACAAAACACAAAGACAAAACAATGCTTTGAAATAGTTGCAATAAAGCATAATCGCATTTAATAACTTTTTACAAAATTGTTAGTTTTTCTACCTTTCTCTATTTATCAAATTATATACATTTATTTTAAAGAAAATCGTATTGACATATTTATACATCACATTCTACTTGATATATGTATCACTTTCTCTCTCTCTTTCTCTCTCTCTCTCTCTCTCTCATTCTCTCTCTCTTTCTCTTTCTCGCTCTCTTTCTCTTTCTTTTACACTTTATACGATTAATTTTTTCAATTCAAAGAAAGCCCATAGTAATACTTACTGATTAAAAACTGTTAATGACAAAATCGACTTAAGTGCCATCACCGTGATGAATGTGATAATTATATGACAACACGATCATCGACTACAAAGTTAAGACCTAGTAGTTCCCATACCGACTTGCAAGTGTTGCAATCATGGAATACAATATAGAAAAAGTTATATTTCCTTATTTTATAATAGCTTTTTTCATGGGTTGTGGAATTTACAAACACCCGAACAGTTATCCTAAATGGTGTTTAAGTATTGTTTATAACGTTTTAGTGTGGAGTGTTTATGTTTGGAATTTATACAATAAATGGATACGTAAAATGCTAAAGTTAAACTTACTATTTCAATTCTTCAATTTCTTTATAGTAGGAATAAGTTTGTTCCTGTGGATGATATCTGTATTTATCACTTTTTACAAATACGAGGTACAGTTTACTATTACATTACATTATTGTTTAATTTAATAAATATAATAAATTATTCCAGGTTACAATTTCTTTGGTTTTTTACATATATTTTTACAGAGAAAAAGTAAAGTTTTAAGAATTGTAATGTATAATATTACATTTTATTAGTCATATATATGTGCTTTATTAAATATTTTATTTTCAGGAACAGTCGGTGTGTATTAAAAAATTAGATCTGATAAATGATACATTAGAAAAAATCGGAATATCAAAAGAATTCATTCGAATGCGAAAAGAGATGAAGTGGTCATTGANTGTATGGTTTATGCTATCATGTATAATAAGTATTGTTGATAATGTAATAGGCTTATATCTGAACTTATTAAATCTTCAAAATATAATAGCTATTTGGATTGTACANTATTCTGTACATGTCAATACTGTACTAGACTTCATGACTTTGACTCTTTTAAGGTTAGTGTTTGTATGTATAAGTGTAAAATCAGTACAAAATACTTTATATTTTAAATAAGAAAACTATACTGCATTACATAAAATATGTATTATTAATTATATCCTATGTTGAAATGACAAACATTTACACATATTATAACACATTATAACATATTGCAATTTTGCAAGCTAGTATGAAACGTACTGTTATTGTACAAAAAACACATAGATTTCCAAATATATTTATTGTACTTATTATCTGTTTATTTTTTTGTCTAATAAGTGCATAAAGCACGGCAGATTTTAATTTTTGTTTTAATATTACAGATATATCGATTTTAGGTTTGATAAAATAAACGATCATATAGAACAACTGTCAGAGATTGAAAACTATGACTTGAAATGTATGTCGAAACCATCTCTTATTGTCAATCGTCACTATATTCGACGCACAGAGTACCGTAAGCGTATGCTGTGGATTGCAATGTAAATTATTAGTATATGTTAAAATAACAGATATAAAGATTGCAAAAACAATTATTTGTGAATAGGGATTTTACCACTTATAAAAATAGTGTGTTCTTACTACTGAATACTTCATATTTTCACTTGTACACAGTTCTGCATATATTTGTAATACTTTTGTAGTGATTATATGTTTAAGTAATATTTTTGTAAGTTACATACTGTAAAGAATGTTGATCAATAAGGAGGTATTTACTAATATATATAAATTTCTCTTATTTAATTTCAAATTTAAGACAAAAATGCATATAAAACATAAAAATACAGTATTCTTTACTGTCTATATAAATAAACATAAGTATATGAACATATTTAATAAAACTTGTTTTCTTTCTGTAGGCATCTTCATTTGGAACTTTGCCATGTGGCTCGCAATATTAATGCTTTATACGGAGTGCGAATGACAATACAATTGGCATCTTACTTTGTTCTGTTTACTGGATATGTTTATAGTCAATATCATATAATTTTATGTTTGAGCAACGAGAACGAATTAATAAAATGGTACTATATAATTTTTGGCACTTTATGGACCATTTATTTTTTAAGTAAACTTATAATAGTAAATCACATCTGTGAAAGTGTTAGTGCCAAGGTAACATAACTTTGTATAACATATAAAGTAATATTAGAAAAATATTTCTTTTTCTAAAATCTTAATTCTTGCTTTTAGGCAGAAAAAACCAAAATTGTAATTCATAAATTGACACATCTTATTCGTTTTGCAGATGCGTATAATGAGGTAATTTCAATTAAGCACACAATTTTTTTATATAAACTGTCTTGAGTATCTTTAGATTTGTGTAACAATATGTGTAAAATTCAGATTTATCAGTTTGGTCTGCAAATATCGCTTCATCCACTGAAGTTTACCGGATTGGGCTTATTTTATTTTGGATATAAGCTCGTCCGTTCGGTTAGTTTTTAATAATATTTATTTCTATGAATAAACAAAATCAAGAAATGTAGTTTCTTTTTCTCTCTCTCTTTCTTTTAATTCTCAAGAACAATAGAAAATAGCATTTATGTAATATTTGCTTTTAGTTTGCTGTCTGGGTTTTTACTATTGTTCTTCTACTGATACAAATGGACACTTTTGTAGTAAACAAATCATCTAAACTAAATATGCTAGAATGTATTATCAATAAGTAAAAAATATGTTTTTAAAACTTTCGGATTAATTTTTTATACTACTACTTTTATACGTGTTTAGGTATATAGTTTTCTTATTTGTTTTGTAAGAATGGAACATATAAAAATATATAGTAGTCGTAAATAAAACAGTATGTTGTCGTATTTCAGTCATGCTATACTAACGTAGTTTGTACATAAATCTTATATCATATTTTCTTTACTGGCTTTATATAAGCAAGAAGTCGCGTTTTACATTATTATCAGGTCTACTACTGTCCAGCAATACCAACCGCTGTTTTCTTATAAATCAAAAATCTGTATGTAATTTAATATTGCTTAGAGATTTCAAATATTTTTGAAGAGATTTGCTGTAGACAATACGTTGACAAAACTAGACATTTTAAATATAAAATGTGATAAACTGTACATATATATATATATAAAAATAGTTATCATAGCAAACTGCAACTGTGACAATCATGAACGACGCTATGGAAAAAGTTTTGCATCCTTATTTTGTAGTCGCTTTCTTCACGGGTTGCGGGATTTACATATATTCGGAAAGTTGTCCAAACTTTGATTAAATGTTATTTATATATTAACAGTGTAAACTGTTATTACTTGAACGTTTTGTACTATATTGAGTAGTTGTTTACATCGCCAAAAAAAACTGTTAAAAGTTTAGATTATTGTAAAATAGAAATACATTTGTTCTTATCAATATTATTAAAAGGTATCACATTTTGCAATCACAAGATATTTTAAGATGTTGTAAAGTTTGCGTTTTTATTTTGCCACATTTATACTTCTACTTTTTTCTATGTAAAATTAAAATATCAATTTTCATTTTTTTTGTGCAAAGAATTTAAACAAACTTTAACTACTACTTACTCATGGATGATTGTACGTTAATATAATCACATAGAGGTAGGCAATGGTTTAGGTTTAAATATCTACTGACAATAAGTTCTTAATTTTTGGCGGATCCAGAAGCACATATTAACGACGACAATTTTACATCTTGTCCTCGTAAGTTTCGCAAGTTTTGTCTTGTTTTCAACATTTAGTTCCTCTCGATGACTCGATGATGAACAGTTGATTTCAAAGTCAGTCTTGTCTCAACTGTCGACAACTGAACCACCGAATCAGCCGAAGTTCCCATCAGGGATGCCAGATTCCGGCCGCTTGGTAGCACGCGGTAGCATGGAGGGGATGCGCACACAGATTCGAGCCGTGACATGAAGCTGTGTGCGCATCCCCTCCATGCTACCGCGTGCTACCAAGCGGCCGGAATCTGGCATCCCTGGTTCCCATAACCGCGCGCTTTATCTTGACAAAGTTTTTTGTTAAGAGGGTACTGGAGCCAGTGTGCCCAGTTTTGACTCTCTTACAGCACGCTGCAGCAAGCGGAGGGGATACGCACACAGGCAAGCAGCCGTGTACGTGTGCGCTCGACGCTTCGGCCGTCTTCGGGCGGTAGAAGAGAACAGAGATATGTCTACT